CGCCGTTACCCCGAATAGTACACTACCCCGAATGGCGACTACCCCGAAATTAAGACAAATAGAAGAACAGCAAGGGATAAATTTTTGAGAAGGAAATTTTCTTTTCTAATTAACCACTTCATTCGAGCACTTAAAATGACGTTTACTACCACTCGAACTTTGAAATAAAACATTATTTTGAGATTTTTTCTTCTAGAACCTCGAGAAAAGTAGCCAACATTTGTGCGTTTTATAATTAAAAATAGAAATTAGTTGGTCCAGTTTTGTGAAATCGCTGGTAGAAAGTCACGCCAAAACTGCTTGACAAAGTGGTCAATTTATACTGAATACAAATGATAGGATTCTATAACATTCCCCAGAAAACCATTCCCCCGAAAACCATTCCCCAGAATCTCATTCCCCAGAATGCACCATTCCCCAGAAAAGCATTTCCCAGAATGAACCATTCCCCAGAATGTACCATTCCCCAGAAAAGTATGCCATGTATTAGATTGACTATTTTTGTTTATTATAGTCATTCCTGGAATATTCTTTCGCGTATATAAAAAGAAAAGAAAAACTTATTAGGATATGTTTATAAATTATGTAGACAGTTTAGGGAAGGGGGGGGTTGGCAATTGTGCACGGTCCATACAAATTTAAAAAATTTTGTATGGAAAATTGTCTACGCAGGGGAAGGGGGGGGGGGGTCAAGAATCCCAAAAAAAACTGTCTACGTAGTTAATGAACAGCCCCTTAATGGCTCAAGGGGGTTTCCCATCTTTGAAAATATAACAATAGGAAATAATTAATTCTTTGGATATACGATAAAGAAGGGAATATTCCCTTCTTTTAATATATAAAAGAGAAAATAATCAATTCGTTAAATATATGATAAAGAAGGGAATATTCCCTTCTTTGAAAATATAACAAAAGGAAATAATTAATTATTGGATGAACGATAAAGAAGGGAATATTCCTTTCTTTGAATATATAAAAAGAAAATAATTTATTCTTTGGATGTATGATAAAGAAGGGAAGGGAATATTCCCTTCTTTTAATATATAAGGAAAATATGTAATCAATAGCTTTTGGCAAGGGATTCGGGGTAATGTCCATTTGGGATAATAACGTGTGGAATAATGTTATAAATTTGTAATCGATAGTTCAACGTTCCATGCACCGATTTTTCAATCCATAACGAGAAATTCTTCAACTCTGGTCTAGACTCAGGTCGAACAATTCTTTGATAAGGTTTAACAGTTTCCGACTGGTATTGCATATTGAATTGGATTGCATATTAGACCCTTTGACTTTTTAAATGGTGAACGAAGTGCTCGAAAACTTGAAGGTTGTCATTTTCTAAAGAGCTTTAAAATGGTTTGGAATTGATAAATACATAGTTCCATAAAAGTAAACGTAGTGTATCATCAATTTAGTAAAGTGAAACTAATCAGAGAGTTTAATCACAGACAACAGACATAACACTTTGAAAAAGTTTTTCTTGAAAACATAGTATCTCAAAACATAGGACCTCAGTAACGACATCTCTCGGGCTTCTCGCGTAAAACAAGCTTGCTCTGCTCGCTTGCAAGCTTCAAAATTCCAATAAAAAATTATCATTTGTATTCAGTATAAATTCCAAAACGAAATTTCCTTCTAAAAATGTACTATTCTTTTGACCCCTTGCTGTTCTTTCATTTGTCTTAATTTCGGGGTAATGGCCATTCGGGGTAGTAGGGCATTCGGGGTAATGGCCATTCGGGGTAGTAGGACATTCGGGGTAGTGGCATTCGGGGTAATGGCGTTCGGGGTTATGGCGTTCGGGGTAGTGACATTCGGGGTAGTGTCACAGAATCGCCTGGAAATACGCGTATATTCATTTACCTTTTGCTTTAAATTAAAAAACTCAGCTAAACGCTTCAAATGATTCGAATTATGGTTATCACGCCAATTAATATTAAAATCACCAGCCAATATATTTAATTTACTAGAATCAAGGAATGTCTCGAGCCAGTTCTCTAAAACTTCAACAAAACGCTGTTCACTAGAACTGGGAGAATGACACAAAACACCATAATTACCCATTCATCCCACGTACAACTGTAATGCCCAAGAACCAGTTGCCATCAATAACTTCGTTGGTACGAAGGTTGAATTGAACTGATTATTTGACATAAATAGCAACACCGCTAGTGTGTCTAGAATGTGATAAACAAGCAGCAACACTATAATCCCGGAATACTATATTGATGAAAAGCTTCAGTTTCTACAATATGAATTTCAGATAATAAAACTAAGAGAGGACGTTTTTCCTCAACAATCTGACGTAATGCTACGTAGTTTGTTGACAACCCCGCAATATTAAACTACAAAAAATCGAATTGATTCACATTCCTGGAACTTGGCTGCTATTTATTGAAACGCAAGATGCTTTTCTTCTGATCAAAAACTATTTTATAGAGCAAACATTCAGAGCTAAATGTGGCATTGTTGACGTCCAAGTTCATTTTACGTTCTTTATTCATTTTCAAACAATTAATACATTTCAATACAGTTGGCGTACACTCCGACGTTTTGTGTTGTTGGCTTCACCTCAGAGCATCTCTCGCCATTTTTGCAATCCATGCTCTTGTCCCTAAATTCTGCACATTTGAAGCATCTCAACACATTAATCGTGGGGACTATCGAGCACCGATTAAACCCTACATTTACTTGTATCGCACATAACAAACATTTATACGTATCGACTTTTTTTTTATCGGGAAGACAGAGCTCTGATTTCAATCAAATGGGTAATATATTTTACCGACGCTTAATAATGTTTGAATCGCTAAAATATTCTACTTCTTCTAAAACTTCTACTATTTATGCATGAGTTAGGTAGGAGTGTGCGTTTGACTAGTACTGTCGCATTAATGGCCCTTCGCTCATTTGCAATTTCTATTCAATTTTCACGCTTGCCCACGGGGAGGGGGAGGGGTGTTTAAATAATATCCACGTCGACACGTTAAATATATTCGATTTAGGTTAGCGACTGAAAGTCAATTTTTATTTGTTATATGGTTGGAGGCGAACCAGCCTAAGGCTGAAAGCCTCCTAAATAAAGCTAAATAATAATAATAATAATATATGCGACAGTTAGAAGATACTGAGAGGTTAGCACATATCATCGGCAAGAGACGTGCGTGTGAGAAAATTTGCGAAAAAATCTAAGGGCACCGGTGGGATTCGAACCCACAATTCCCATTCAGTACACGGGTGCATTGCCAATTATACAACGGTGGACCTATGGTCTACAGATGAGTTTCGAATCCGTTTCCCTCCCTTAGTATTTTTGCGCAAGCGTTCTCAATACACAACAATCGTCTATTACCGACGATATGTGCTTGTACCGCAACCACTCAGTATCGGTCGATGTGAACAAACACAACTTAAATATATTGAAAAAAAAAAATAGACAAGCAATTTGTAAACATACGAGAATAAAAGAGCAATGCTTATTATGTTAGAATGAAAGCCAAACAAAAATGAGTCAACGTGATTCTAGTACCCCGCGACGTATCAAATAAATCACAAACAAATTCAATAACAAGATCATTGGCGGTTGTATCGACGGTACCACATGATTCATTCCCAGAAAGATTTCAACTGCAATTGGGAAAGTATACAGAAGCTGTGTTGAGGTAAAACCCCATTGACGATCTTATATTAAGAGGCTCCAATATTGAGCATCTTCTAAATCAATTCTCATGTTAAGAAACCAACAATTCTCATCAAACATCGGATGTTATGCAGGTGCCTCCAGGGAAGTAACTATGTTCGTGTTTTGATTTTTTTACAGCTATCGGTTTCGTTTTTTAATGAGTTTAGTGATGCTAGGTGGTGGTCTACCTAAGGAACTTTTAGAAGGAGTCAAAAGGACTTTATCAACAGGTTCAGAAGACTTCATTGCAATTAGTATTGTCACTTTAACACTCTTGGGTCATTCGTGACTTGTCCGGGGATAAGATTTAAACTCGTGGCATTTGCGTAGTATGGATATGAACCACTACGCCAAGCCATCCTTATGCGGCGTCCATTAATTACTTAACGCTAAAAATCGAAATGTTTCATCAATATTGGTTAATAATTGGTGGCAATGGACGCTGAAGGGTTCAAATGAAGCTATGACATGAGATTCGATTCTATAGATATTCAATAGACACATTTTACGTGACTAAATGAAAAATAAAGTAACTCCCAAATATGTTTGCTTATTTGGAAAGCGCGTTGAGTTTCCTTTAAGAATTGTTCAAAAGTTTTTAACTTCAGCTCCTCAAAAAGTTTTAGTGAGTAGCTGTTGATTAGTTGTAGAGGAACAGTGCAAAACCGTAACCGCTCTCCAAATCATGTTGAACTACTCAAATCAGAAACTCTTAAACAATTGTTATAATAAACTAGCTGACTCAACAAACGACGTACTGTCTAGTTATACCAGTCAGGGCCCAACACGGAAAAGAAAAATCTTGCAAATCCTTCAATCCGTTCTCGAGCTATAGCGTGATATAGGAACACCATTTCATTTTTATTTATCGCACTTTCCAGATCTTCAATAAGATTGGGGATAACTTTTTATTTTTTATTTAGCTACAGTACATAATCTGTTAAATAAAACAGGGGAAAATGTGTAAACATGCTAGTAGAATGTGTGAATAGTGTTCTAAAGAATTCCCGTACCTTCAAAAATTCGCCGTTATTGTTAAATGTGGAGTTATCCAGGAATCACGATTGTTGAGTTTAAAAGAGGCTTGTATGACCATATTTTACATGTGCCAATGTAAAAAGTTCGAATTACATTTAATATCCCTGAGTAGCCCAAGGCAGTTCTTTTCTGATTCTGTTGTAATAAGTTCAATCTCTGTAAACCCATTATAAAACTTAGTAACCGAACTTGTTAACACGCTTATAGGGAGTTTCGGATAAATAAAAAAAAGGTTTCAGGTCATTGCAAAAATTAAAATGTTTTTATATGCTTTCAGGTACATACATTTTACCACCAGATTACGGGTTTTGCAACACCACGAGCAGCAGTAATACCTCCATTGTTCCCCAACCTGAAACTAGCACACTAAATGAACATCATCATCGGTCGTTTGTGTCTCTAGAGCCTGTTAATACTGAAGAGCCAGTCGCGGAACAAACAACGGTTATCGTCGGAAATACCGATCATCAAACCGAGACGGAGAGCACTAGTGAGTTTAGTGGCTTAGTCAGTTACTTCAGTTCACAGCAAAATGAGTTAAATGCCTAAAACCTAGAAAAGCACAGATAGATTGTTAAATAAAGACAAGTGTAGAAAAAATAAGCATAATTTAAACTTTTCTATTTTAGCTACATCCGAAATGTCATTTAAAGATGTTGCCTCTAAACAAGAGCACTACTCACATATAAACAGCTGTAACTTTCTAACCATGATTCCAAATAGGTAACTGTGCTGTGCTATGCATCTTTCTGATCAAATAATAAGTAAAGTAAAAACGTATCCACAATTCAATTTACAAACTTTAACGTTAGCCGAAGGGGCAAAACATCTAAATCTCAGTTCTAGATGCTCAACAAATCTCACACTAGCGGATAAATCTTCGAAAAATCTTCTTTCCTGTCTCGCATCTACTTCAGAATCGTCATCAATCTTATTTCTATCTATTCAGCGTGCGCGCAGCTAACCACAGTAAAAAAAATCCTGCATCGTAGATAGAGCCGCCCCCTCGCCGTTAATCTACATTTTACTTCATTCATAACCATATTACCGCGACAGTATGAGGACAGTCAGAAAAGCATGCATTGTGCGATTGCACATAGCTAACGAACCGAACATGTGTTTCTGAGTTTCCTTTTTCTTAGCCTCGGCGCACAATAGAGGTCTCGAACTAGCAGACCAGTAAGGGCAATAAAAAGTATCCAATATCACAACACTTATTTCGATAGGCGACTAAAACCAAATCAACCAAAATTGTTCAATGTTTGCCAACATCTCCCAGGCGCCTTTTTTTTAATGTATTGAAAGGTAAAGAAAATCAGTTGTAACTGTGGAAAATGCTGAAGATGTTTTCGGCAAACTCTGTAAAATTAATGAAATAAAGTTAGTCTTCAAAGTTGGTTGGAAATGCTAACATGAAGCTTTAGTGTGATAATTTATTAGCTAGAGAATGATCTTTAGAAGAGAGTAGGTGGATAGTTCCGTTAGAGTACGGCAGTATGAAAATTGAATAGAAGCTGAAAATGAGCGAAGGGCCATTAATGCGACAGTTTTTAATGTTAGACGCACATCTTTTGCCTAACCCGTACGATGTATGCGTGTGTTTTATGGAAATTTTTCATTTCTTGAAAAAAAAATCTTGGGATTCATTGCAGTTTTCTTTCATCGTAACATTTTTCGAAGCAATCCTTTTTCAGATAATTTATTTTTATTATATTTTTCAACGTCTTCAGCTATGCTGTACAGACTGGTAAACAAAACTTAACTATATAACTAAGGACCTTGGTTCAATCCCAGTCGGTGCCGCCGGGATTTTCTGAGGCATAAAATCTTTCATCACGTTGATCCCCGGTCCATGAGTTGATGCGTCGATAGGTAGGGTCCAGGCGTAAGAGCTGCCTCCTTGGCGTTGGTAGCATTGGTACACAGTACAGAAAACAAGATCGACGGAAAACAAAGCAAGGAAACACAAAGACTAACGTCTGGATGGAGGCGAACCAGCCCAAGGCTGAAAGCCTCATTAATAAAGTTAAATAATAATAATACTAACGTCTGAAACTTATTTTTCGTCCCATTATGGTCACTATCTTCATCTAATCTTCGGGGGCAAATTTGTAACGGATGATATTCATCGGTGACTGTTCGGTGCCTTGGAATCCACATAAGCTGTCGTTGTCAGAAGCTGCGAGTAGGAACATAAAAGTTTACTTGTTGCAGAAGATATATAAAGTCTAAGCGGTTACTTGATATGTCAAATACAAACATTCTCTGCAAGTAAACCCAACGCTGGTGAAGAGGCTCTAGACTTACCAGTTGACATCGTGTTCGTATGGAAGCAGTCGAAAAAGGTCATTCCACGACAGGTTCCGCAAAGCAAATCTGATGAAATAACGTTGAACTCATTCTGGCATGATAAGGAGCCCATACTTGAACTCCGTTTTCACGAATACTGCGCACCAGGGAGTAGTACAGCACTTTCATCGCTGAACTCGGCACAGCTTCGGCATAGAGTTGGCTCGTTCAAGTTCTTCTGAATTGATCGATTATTGGAAGGTTACCTGCGAACGGGTTCTACTGAATCTTATAACCTTGCATTTTATAGCGTTCATCTCCATCCCATTGAAAAGACACCAGTTAGATACAGTTTCAAGATGTTGTTGTAGAGCACCATCATTAGACATACACTGGATGATTCTGCAAAATGTTAGGTCATCGGCGTACATGAGCCGATGCGATTGTAATCGGTGACATAAATCATTCGAAACAATAAAAATTAACGGAGACTCCCTTGCGGTACAGCAGACGGCATCTCGCAGCTTCTGTAGAGCTAGGAGTGTAACCAATCTACAAGCCAACCAAGAGATCGATATGCAGCACAGAATCGAAATAGGACGATAATATTCCATGCCGTGAGTGCTGCCAGATTTGTGTATCGGCATTACCGCAGCCAGTTTCCAGGTATCAGGAAAGACTCCCTCCGACAGAGAAAGGTTGAATAAACAGCCAACAGGTATGGCAAGCACATTGACACATCGTTTGACAAACGCAGGAGGAAGCTTGTCAGGCTAGGACCCTTAGACGAATCGATAGTGCATAGAGCGTTTTCAACGTCTGCTATTGAGAATGTAGGCCTTGAGAAGTTAATTGCTTACGATGGTAAACTTTGCACCAGATTAGGGAAAACAGGGAATACAGAATAAACGCTTTGGAAAAGTCAGCAAATAATTTACAGATTCAGCAGTGTCACGTGAAGTAATACCACCAAACGACATTTCTGCGAATATTGAGTTGGACACTCTCCTAGTCTTTATGAAATTCCAAAAAAATAAAGGATTGGCCTTCACTTCATTCTGAATTCGAAATACATACTCACGGAATGAAGAGGACACACTGGCGTTGTATTCAGTATCGAGCCTTTGGATGAGAATTCTGTTTGATGGAGTGCTGGGGCGGAAAACCGATGAAAAGCTTTTTTCGAAGAACATTCCAGCGGTCTCTTAAATCAACATTCCACCATACTTGTCTGTAAGACCGGCGCAAAAAAAAGCTCTGCGTACGGAAGTATGTCGAATAATTCATTCGAAAATCTAAAAGGGACCGCTAGATTAATGTTGGCTCCGTTGAACAGATGTTCCCAGTTTTTTAGCATATTTCATCACAAATAGAATTGTAATTGCTGCGCTTGAAATCAACATCCCGCTCGGTAGCTGAACGGTGATCAACAAATCGACGTATTAGGTGGGGTGAAAATAACCTCCATGGAAATGAAATTTTTGTTTTGATTTGTTTTTATTCAATATAGCCCCTTTTTAACTGGATACACTTATTCCAGCGATTTTCCAACTTCATGATCCCGTCCGAAAAGTAATTTTCCGGAAAGTCTGTCTTTTGAGGTTTGACAAGAGATAATAGTCTGAGGGAGCCAAATCGGTGGATGCGGAAGCAATTGGAGCCGTAAGTCATTGATTTTAACGATGGTTGTGATATTCTTGTGCGTCAAAAACAATTATTTCCACTTCATGTGAGGCAGTTTTGCAGCGATTTCGGCCTTCAATCGCTCCAATTTTTTTTAACTCTTTATTTGTTCTAAATGCAAAATAAATTACATTTCATTTTAACCTAGGTGCTCCAGTTACTACAGTAACTTACCAGTCTTAATTGTTATGTTATATATCTAAGTGTTTTTACGTTGTATTTTAAACGGGTTTTTTTTTGTAAACTTGCATGTCAGTATAACAATTGAAATATTAAAACTAAAAACTAAAACTAAATCTTATCTAGATATAAAGGGAATTAATCGTTGCAATTGAGGATTGTAACGATTTTTGCCTGAAATTATTAAGTATTTTGTTAGACATTTGTTCTAAAGTCTCAACATTCGAAATTCTATGTACTTCGGTAGTACTGTACCAGGGAGGCAACTTCAAAATCATCTTCAGCACTTTGTTCTGAATCCTTTGAAGTGCTTTTTTCCTGGTAGTGCAACAACTAGACCATATTGGCACAGCGTAAAGCATGGCCGGTCTAAAAACTTGTTTAAATATTAGAAGTTTATTCGTCAGGCAAAGTTTGGATTTCCTGTTTATAAGAGGATACAAACATTTTATATATTTGTTACATTTGGCTTGAATTCCCTCAATGTGATCTTTAAAAGTTAATTGTTGTTCAAGTACTAATCCAAGATTTCACTTGGTTTGACCAGGAAATTGGAACGCCGTTCATAGTGACTATGTGACTACTACTAGGTTTCAAAAACGAAGCTCTAGACTTATGTGGAAATATTATAAGATGGGTTTTGGAAGCGTTGGGAGAAATCTTCCATTTTTGTAAATAAGAAGAGAAAATATCTAAACTTTTCTGCAGTCTGCTGCAAATAACACGAAGATTTCTTCCTTTAGCGGAAATGCGTGTGTCATCAGCGAACAAAAATTTGTGGCAACCCTGAGGCAAATCAGGGAGGTCCGAAGTGAAAATGTTATACAATATAGACCCAAGAATGCTACCCTGAGGAACTCCTGCTCTAACAGGTAGTCGTTCGGATTTGGAATTTTGATAATTTCCCTGTAGAGTTCTGTCAGTTAAATAATTTTGAACTCATTTCATAATATAAAGTGGAAAATTAAACTTTTTCAATTTAGCAATCAAACCTTCATGCCAAACACTGTCGAATGTTTTTCTATGTCCAATAATGAAGAATTTAGACCTATGACGGGTAAGTTTCTGAAGGTCACCCTTGAGAAATTTTTTTTGCTGGCCTACGCATTGGAATGGCAAAAAGGCAGCTATAAACGTAAGTTGTCCAAATTTTGTTTCAACAGAAACTCCCAAAGTTTCAAAAACTTTTTATGTTTTATTCGTCTATGAATAATGATGGCAACGCCACCACAGGGTCCATCAAGACGATCGGTTCTATAAATGAAATAATTTGCGTCCCTTTTGACTTTATGGTCAGGTTTAAGGAACGTTTCAGTTATAACGGCAATATGCACGTTATGAACTCTCAAAAAGTTAAATAGCTCGTCTTCATTATCTTTAAGAGATCGAGCATTCCAATTTAAAATATTTAATGCTTTAAAATCCATTACTGCATTTTAAAGTCATGACAA